GTGGGAGGGAAAACGCAGGTAGGAAACCAACCCAACAATACTTTCCTCCGGCCCTAATCAACAGATAAAAATAAAACAAAAAAATAAAAGAGGACTACTTCCTTTTTTTTTTTCCTTTTTTTTTTGTATATCTGTCGATCTATTATGAGTAGGACATGTCAGAAGAGTACTATGAACGAGATCTAGGCTAGGTTCCGCAAAGTTTCGGCTTTTACAAACTGCGATCTTGAAAAAAAATTTTGCGAAATGGAGTAAAGATGCGATTTTCAGAAAAGAACGAAATCCAGTTTCTGAGAATATGGCAACCTCCGAATATGCCTAACGCAATATTGGTAGGCTTCGCAAGATTTCGGTTTTCAAAAAACATTTGCGAGATAGAATGGAAATTCGATTTTCAGAAAAGAATAATTCCAGTTTCCGAGAATATGACCACTTCTATCGCTATCCCAATATGCCTAGCGAACGAAATACTAACTTCAGAGATTTCAGCTATGTATGCGAAATATCAGAGAAACGAAAAGCTACTATCGGGAATTTTCAAACAAAACGAAATGCAATTTATCAGAAATTTTCAGATATTTGTAACGTAAAAACGAACTACTAATATCAGAAATTTTCAGGTAAAACGAAATGCGAATATCAGAAATTTTCAGATAGTTGTTGTGAGAAAAAAAAAAATTCAGAGATTTGACGAAGTCCTACTTGCGTTACTAACGAGTGATCAATAGATCAGCAAGCTGGCTACTTGATTGAGCGGGTCCTCTGAATGAGAGGTCCGCTCCGATACCAAACTGTTGCATACTGTAACGTGCAGACCAGAACAAGAACCGACCTCTCAATACAAAGTACAAGATAACACAGCGGAAGACTTAGATACGAATGATCCGAACAATCAATATTGCAATGCAGCCCTGAACGCACATCATCATCATCGTTATCTGGTGTGAAGGGGGTCTGGCGCTTCACACAAGAAGACTGCGCCAGCCCCAACCATACACAGACGAAGAAGGAGGGGTTGGACGAAGAGGAGGGGAAGATGGGAATGTCGTCAACACCAAGTCTCGGCACAGGCCCAAATAGTCCCTCATCGAAATGTCTGAATCCCAAATGTCCAGTCTGGATCCAATGTCGTCAAGTCTCAAGTCACAACTCTTTCTCTCTCTGTCGTAGTCTGAGAAGTCAGGTGGCGAGAGGGTGAGAAGAGATGGTGGACTTAGAAGAGGAAGAAGAAGAACTCTCTTTCTCTCCGTGTCCAGTACTAATCTGTGAAGTTGGCGCCTTGATGCAGGTACCTCGAAGATGGAGCTGGAGCTATGGCGCCACAGGTAAGTACCGCTGGCCTCCGCCAGCCATCTCCCCCAACTCTACGATCTACCACCTATTAGCGCCCAGCGCTGAAGACTACCACTATGGCTATGGGCGCCCAGCGCCGAAGACTCCTACTAGCGCTAATACTACTGCCTAGCGCTGAAGACTACTGCAGCGCTCCTCCTGAGTGCTGCGGCCGAATCCTGAAGACTACTCGTGCCTACTGACAACTAGCTACCCGTGAAGTGCATGGGAACTTCCTATGTACTAACGGGTGTGCCTCCTGACTCGTGCGAGCAGTCCAGGAGGCTGCTCTTGCCAATGCCGAAGGGAGGCAGGGGCTGCAGCTGCAGCTCCTGCTCAAGCTCGTGAGGAACAGGCTATTTCTGGCCTGTTCCGAAACCCTGTATTCGTGCCTGAGTCTTAGGGGTGGTCGAAACAATGAGGGCCTGAAAAAGGCCCTCCGTTTCAGGCTGGAAAAACTATGGGCCTGAAACGCCCAGAAATAGGCTGAAACGGAATAGGGCCTGCAGGCCCTCGTATTTCAGCTTTCAGGCTGAAACGACCGGGGCCTGTAAGCCCTAACTTTTAGGCTTTTAGGCTGAAAGTCCGGGACGGGCCCTGCAGGGCCCGTGTGGCTACGCAGTATGCCACAGAGAGACAGAGAGAGAGAGAGACAGAGAGAGACAGAGAGAGAGAGAGAGAGAGAGAGAGAGAGAGAGAGAGAGAGAGAGAGAGAGAGAGAGTCGT